CTTGAACAAGTGGATCCATTGCCGAAGAACGAATCTTATTATTATTGCCAAGCCGACTGGTCGCTCGGACAGGAAGCAACATGTCGCGCTTATATTGATATTTCGCCCAAAGATATTGACGAAATTTTACAATTTCGCGATCGGTTCGATGGATATGTTTTTGTCGATTCAAAAGGCGCCGAATATGTTGCCATTGTCGAATATGCGCCGTTCCAGTGGTTTCTAAAAAACAAAGCGCGAAATCACGACAACAAGGTGAACACGATTGAGAAGGAACCGCATTTTCAAGAATTTCTGCAGAAGCTTGCCGAGGAACGCGAGGAGGCAAGTCGTTTGGGTGATGTAAAAATTGATTTCAATTTTGAAAGCAGAAACGATGAGAAGGTGAAATCAACGCCTTTGCTCCAATACTTGGCGAATAAAAAAGAGAAACGTCGCGAGGAACTCCGAAAGCGAAACGAGGAAAAACGGAAACACCGTGAAGAGCAGAAACTTTTGAAAGCCTCAGAGCAACCAGAAAATGCAAAAACAAAAGAGCCTGGAACTGCAACTGAAAATCCCAAGAAATTCGGTAATAATAATAATAATAATAATCAGAAAAAGGGATTCAGCAAGGAAGGTCAAGCTTCAGACGAAACTGCGAAAAATGCTCGCTCCAAGCGGCGCTCCGAACGCGATCAACGTCGACGCGAAGAACACGAACAGCGAAAATTGGTGCGAGATCGTGAAAATCGGGATAAGAAAAAGGACTTTAATCAGAAGCAAACTAACAAGAACTCCAATGCTCCCAAAGACAATCAGAAGGGAAACAAAGAAATTGTCATCTTAAAGAAAAAACCAAATGAAGCGGACTCAACTGCCGAAGCGCCCAGCGAAACAGCAGCAAAAACTGAAGTCAGCAAAGAACCTCCTAAGAGCAGTACGGGTACAAAAGAAGTTGACAAAACTGAAAGCGTCAACGTGTCAACTAATCAAAAGAATACCAAGCCAGCAGAATCATATAAGGAACGACAAAATTCACGTGCGGATGAACGTCGCATAAGAAATAAGGTTTGGCATTGCATTAATAATAAATACAATCAAATAGATTAACACATGTATTCTACAGGATCGCCCCTCAATTGCCATATATCAACCGAAAGTGCGAGTCGGTGTGAGCTCTGAAGATAATTCGCCCAGCTGTAAAGATGTGCCCGCATTTCCAAGCGACGGCGATGTTGCGATGTCCGACGAAACGCTGAAGAATAAGAGATTTGGCAGACGCAACAGGCAAAAGCCGCAGGACACCAAAGACAACTTTGAGGCAACGCGGCGTGAGTCCAAATCCTCTGAAAGTAGCACAAGTGCCCATTCGATAGTAAAATGATAACAAATGGAATTTGTTATTTTAAGTTATGCAAATACTTTTACGCATTTATTAATAAAAATCACTCTCAATGTCCATTTGATCGCTGGACTTTTGATTGTTTTTAACCTGATCCTGTGAGTTGTACATGAGAGATACTTGATTCGCATCGGTGGCATTTTCCGGGCTCTTATCGTCCCGAATGCGAATAAATCGCGGAAAACGTAAGGAAATGCCGCGTTCAGGATCAACAGCTCCTATGGCGGCTCTATGGATCGGACTTAGGGACAGATCAGCGCACTTAACTTCCCAAACTTGAACGGGCTCAAACCAAGCATCCGGCTCCAAGCTTGGATCATATCTGAAGTATGATTTGGCACTGCTAATCACATGAGCGCTAAGGAACTCTGAATGTTG